CCAGTGGAGTTTGGACAAATAATTAAAGCTAATTCAGGGGAGAAAATTTTGTCTTTTCCACAAATGGTGCTGGAAGCATTGAGCAATATGTGAAAAAATAAGCCTACATATAAACTTTATATATATTATACAAGATAACTGAAAATAGGTTATAGCTCCAAAGGCAAAAATGTTAAACTAAAATACTTTTAGAAGTAGGAGAAAACCTTCATGACCAGTGGTTAGGGTAAGGAGTTCTGACACATGACATTAAAGGCATAATTTATGAATGGAGAAAATTGGCAATTTGATCTTCATCTAAATGAAAACCTTTCACTCTGTGAAAGACAGTGTTAAATTATTTTGAAAAAAAAGGTATTGGCTGAGAGAATATACACTATATTATGTATATATATATATTGAGTTGACACTGTTTCAAAGAGTTAGGAAACAGAATGATGAACCTTTCAAAGATATCCATGAACCAATGAATGTGTCACACTAAGTAGAAAGAGGGAATTAAGGCTGCTAATCAATTGATGTTGAAGAGGTTATCCCTGATTATCTGAGTGGGCTCAACTAAATCACACACATTACATACATGGAAATAGAACAGGCGAGCAGAAAAGGAGGTTAGAATCAGAGAGAGAACTTAAGGTTCTATGTTGCTGGATTGAACATGCCAAGGAATGCATATGTCTGCCAGTAACGGGAGCTCAAAACAGAAGAAAAACAGACTCTCTGAAAGGCTTTTCAATGGAATACAGACTTGCTAATAGCTTGATTTTAGCCCAGTAAAACCCACTTTGCCCTTCTGACTCTTTGGAACTACAAAATATTAAATTTGTGTTGCTTCAAGTTACCTAGCTTCTACTAATCTGTTGTAGCAGCAGTTGCAAACTAGTACATCATGAAAAGATTCAACATCATTAGGCACTAGGAAAATGCAAATTAAAACAGTGGTGAAATATCACTGCATACCAATTAGAATGGATAAAATTAAAAACAGTGACAATATCAACTGATGGCAAAAATAGAGAGCAATTGAAACTGTCACGCAATGATGGTAGAAATTTTGAAAAGTCCTGCTGGAAAGCAATCTGGCCATTTCCTAAAGCATTAAATGTACACCTCCCACATAATTCAGCCACCCTACTTCTCACAAGTGGTCCAGGGAAATAAAAGCCTATGTTCCTACAAAGATGTATATGTGAACAATCACAGCAAATTTATTTGCAATAGTCACAAAGTGAGAACAAACTCAAATGTCCATCAACAGATGAATGGGTACAAAAACATGGTCTGCCCATAAAATGGGGTTACTGCTCAGCAATAAAATGAACTGTGGAACATGTCACACATGTCCAAATCTCAGCTATGCTGTATGAAAGAAGCCAGACAGAAGAGCACACACTGAAAAATTCTGTTTATATCAAACTTTGGAAAATTAAGTCTTATCTATAGTGACAGCTTTACATCAGGGGTTTCCAGGACAGGAGAAAGAACAGGAGGGGTCACCAGGGTTTGGGGTGCTGAGCACATTTATGGCCTTGGTCACAGTGCTGGTCACCTTGGTGTATGCATATATAAAGACACCAGACTGTACACTACATATGCTACTGAGTAAATGCCAGGTTTACTTCAGTAAATGGATTTTTTAGAAAGGGGCCAGTACCAAAGAATTTCTTTTGTGCATTCTTTTTAAAATGCTTTATCACCAGGGCCTCTAATGATGGACAGAATCATGAGTTTCAGAAAGTTTATTTTATCAATTTATTTTGTTTGCAGTCCCATGGATAACATAGGATTTAAAATGTCTAAATCTAAAACAAGTGTTTTACAAACCATGAGGTGAGAGCCCTAAATGATCAGAAAGCACTGTTATAATCTCTCGGTTGCAGTGGCCGTTGTGTTTCTCTGCATGGTGCATAGAGCAGTTGTGCAATCAGTGATGCCTTAGATGAAAAGAAACAGCAACCTGGGGTCAGGCCCGTCTCAGCCCCCATAGCTGCGAGTCCAAGTCACCCCCATCCCCAGGGTTCTCCTACTTCCACAGCTGTCCCTCCTGCAGTCTCCTCTCAACCCAGAGGGAGCATTAAAAAAGCAAATCAAAGTTGGGCACAGTGGCACACACCTGTGACCCCGGCACTCTACTAGGCTGAGGCAGGAAGACTGCGAGTGTGTGCCTGGCTGGGGCAAATGAGCATCTTAGTGAGAGCCTGGTTCAGTAGGGCTGGGGATGGAGCTCAGCTGGAAGGCCTGAGTTCAGTAGCGAGTACTGTGAAAAACAAAACCAAAAAGACCCCAGAAAACCAAAGGATGTGAAGACGATCATCCTCTGCCCAGAGTCCTCCTTGACTTCTACCTCACCCAGACTAAGGCCCAACGCCTTGCACAAATCCCCAATAGCTATGCCATGCCTCGCCCCTCCTCTGGCCCTTTTGAAACAGCCTCCCCTGGTCTTTGCAGAGCTTGTCACGAAGGCACATTCCTCAGGATCTCTGCATTTGCTTTTTCCTTCTCTCAGCCTGGAATTCCCTGCCTTTTGCCTTCAGCACTGTGCTCTTCTCTTACCTTTGTCTTGTTCAAATGCTTTCTCGCTATCGAGGCTTTCCCCTACGAATCTACTACAAACTGCAGCTCCTTTTCACAGCCTTGGCTAGCAACCCCCCTCCTCTCACATTCCTCTTCCCTGCTTTCCTTAACCATGTCTCCTGCCACCTTATGCCATGTACACATTTTATTTACCTGTGTGTGCATCTGTCCGTCACATTTGTGCATGAGCCCCTTGCAAAAAATAGAGTTTAGTTCATTTTGCTCCTTCGTGACTACAATCGGAAGCAGCCAGGCACAAGGTGGTAATGGTTACCACTGTTTCATAAATATATCTCCCAAAAGTACTTGTGCTTACAGAGAGACCTGTGTTTTATTAGAAACACACTTGGCCTCAAAATCTCCAGGCCAGGACAGCAGCCCAGGCGTGTATTAACCACGGCCAGCGCCGCTCAGTACAAGCTGCAGCGTGAGGAGCATTCCCTCAGGGCGTAGGCACATCGCTTTGTCTGGATGAAAATCACTTTCTCTGGCCTTTGCCACTTGTGGAAGTGGGAGGAGAAGCTTGGGACACCTGTGTGGTTTCAAAACCCACAGACACATTCGAGAGATCTGCAAAGCTGGAGATGGCAATTAAGACAGCAGCCAGGCCAGCGCTAGGTGTAGTTATTTTTGGTGTGTTTGGAAGACATACAATGTGGTACAGTCAACAACACATGAGAAAATAAGCCTTTAAGTTTCAAGAATCAAAAGCAAAGTCACATCAGCTAATTGCTTTTTTTTTTTTAATTGGGCTGGCAAATCAAGAAGTGACCAGGAAAATGGAAAGCCATACAGTACCTTTGAATAGTCTTTTTCTTTAAAACAAAAGTAGGGGTGAGGGCTAGGGATTTAGCTCAGTGGTGCCACCAACTGCCTAGAAAACATAAGGGTCCAAGTTCGATCCCCAGTACAAAAAAAATAATAATCTCAGATATTTATAAAAGAATTGTGTCTTTTTCTGGTTTCCATCTTCTAACTTCTTCAGTTTTTCATTTTATACAAGAAGTTACAACACACACAAGCAAAGAAAAATCTTGCCTGACTGGACTTTATCAATGTCTACATTACCTCATCCTTCATTCTATCCGTCAGTCTTTTTAATTTTACAATGTTCACAGAATCACATCTTTCACTGCCTGCAGGGAAGTTAGAATGTGGATGGTTCCCAAAGCTGGCACTTCCACCTTTCCCGTGTCTGAAAGTCCCTGGCCTTTCTTCCTGCCCCTAGAGGCTCACCCTATGGCGAGCTGCCTTTTCAGGATTTCTGGGAATGGCTCTCCAGCACCTACCAGAATGACTGCATCTGCCTTTCTTCTTGACCTACAACTCTGTTCAAAGTCATAAACCCCTGCCCTGCATCAGTTGTGTTCCTCCAACCAGTCAACAAGCAAAGAGAACAAAACGACACTCAGTAAACTTACTCGTTTGCATTTCCCAAGCTAGGAGACACAGGGAAAGAGATCAAAGACCCCTACTGAAAAATTCTGGGAAATAGTAGAATCTGGAGACAACTGGCTAGAAATTTCACAATAATTCTAAAAACAGAAGTCCTTGAGTACAGTGGCTGCTCTACTTCTACCTGCTGTCCCTAGAACAGCAGTCCTCACAGGAGAGAGCACACTACTCACTGACCTGGGTTAAGCTGTGACTCACTGTTGGCTTAGGTGCCTGGGATTCCCACCATTTACCTACAAGGTTCAGGTGGGCGGAACCCTATGCCCCTCGGGCTTGGACCATCCATCTGCTTTGCAAAGTCCAACCAAGGAGGCCGTCAGCAGGGTTTGAGACAACCCAGTAAAATGGGTACGAGATCCAACCTCGGAGTCAGACTCCTGTGGCTCTGTTACTTCTGGCAGTGTGACTCGAAGAAGTCACGCCGCCTCCATAACAAGGAAATGACTGCCGCCATGCTCAGAGGGCTGCCATCGGGGTAAAATGAGATGAGTTGGCGAAGCCCTCAGTCACACACACCTCACACAGTCACGGCCCGACATTATTCTGAAAGAACCTGTGTCAGCCCAGCCCAGAGGCTACTTTGTCAGTGGAGGGCACGTGTGATTTCCAGGGGGTGGAGTAAATTTGTGTGAACTTTTACAGTGCCCTTCCCGCGGCATCTCCTCAGGCTCTTCGACTATATACAACGCAGGGGTTGGAACACGCTCTGCCCTCCTGTTGGGTAGCAACATGCGTGTTTGTCCAGCCTGCTGTGCCCCAGAAGGAAAGCTTCCCTCCTTGGGGTCGCAGCTGGTGACCTGACCTGTCCCCTGAAGCGAATTCAGGAAGCAGGGACGTGGAGCTTTCCACAGGGTCAGAGTCCTCCTGGTTAGTGGAGGTTCATCCCCTGGTTTCTCAGAGAAGCCAGAGCTAAACCAGGGGAGGCAACAAGCCAACGAGTTCAGAGGTGCCCGGTCTCTGTAGAGTCTTACATTTAGTTGCAGAGAGCTGGGATTTATACTGCCCTCGGACCAGCCGGCAGGTGGACCCATCTCCGTTGCAGACCCCACAGTTATCCTCCTTAGCGGTGCTTCCCAGCTGGTGGTCGCAGCCAACAATCTAACAAGAAAGAGAGACGTATAATTCAACTGGGCACCTAGCAAGGCACGGACCCCTGGGCCAATTACCACAATTACCAATTACCCCCTTCATTCCCGAGGGGCATAAACACACTTTTCGGGAGGGGGCTGAGTTACACTTGTGCGTGACCTGAACTAAGGAGGAAAAAGTACAGCCTGCATCAAGACGTGTCTACAATTCAAATATACCAACCAAAGGAATGCAGAGAGAGAGACCCGGAGTACGGGGGAGGAAAGGATGGAGAGCAAGGAAGAGAGAAGGCGACCCTGTGTCACTGACAATGTGTAATCTCAAAAGGAATCCCACTACTACCAAAATGGCAAAGCATCTGGCCACGCGGCGGCTGTAGCAAGAAGCCTCCCTCGGAAGATCTCCTCTCTCTGTTTGCTCCTTAGAACATCAGCGGCATAAGGGTAAGGCTTTGTGTGTTGCCTTCATCGATTCCAAACAGCTAAAGGCTGCCCAGCGGACTGTGTTAATACCTCTGTGACATAACAATGAAAACATTTCCTTTTCTATCTGGCACCGTATCTAAGAGAAGAGAAACAGAACAGCTGACAGACAGAGGTGAGATTAACGTGTGTGCGTGTGTGTGTGTGTGTGTGTGTGTGTGTGTGTGTGTGTGTGTGTGTGTGTGTGTGTGTGTGTGTGTGTGTGTGTGTGTGTGTGTGTGTGTGTGTGTGTGTGTGTGGAGATGGGCAGACCGGTACCAAGGCCGTGCTCTGCTCCTGGCCCTGCCCTACTGCAGTCTCACTCGAGACCCTAGGGCAGCCTCAGTTCATAACTGAGGCCACACTTCCTCCCAAGGCCACTTAGCCAGGCAAGACCTGAATGCAGCTCTTCTAGCCAAACATTTATGCTTAGTCCAAACCAGGCTTGACAAAGCCACGATTTGCAAAGTGAGTGGGTGAATTACTCTTTCTTACTCTCTTTCCAATGTTTGAGTTAAAAAACATCTAAACTACACATCTTACTGTTTTAGTATGAATTAATACCAAAACATTTACTCCACTCTCAAACTATTTCAATTACTTTTTTTGACAAAATCAGAACTCGACTATCATTCAGAAGGGCTTAGCTTCAGAAACTTGGTTCATCCTGCTTTCCAAAACCTTGCCTTTTTTCGTGGCTTGCGCTTTCTTTTGTACCTCACAGTAGTAACCATAAAGATGTATTCAAGCAAATGTTTTAAATTATAGTTACTGCATTTACCATTTTTTATATCTGTACTCTTATTTTTAAGATGTGGTAATGCGTATCATTCCTTTAAAATACCTTTTAAAACGGAGACAAAGCAACAACTCCTTCCACAGCCACACATTGTTTGAAATGCAGAGAAGCAGGAAGGGGGTGCTGAGTTCTGAGTGGGGGCAAAGGAGGGCCTGTTGCCTCCTGCAGTTTACTTCGGCCGACTCAGGGCTGCAGTCGGAATCCAACCTGGCTTCTTCCACGCTGGGCCAAGGACAGGCTGGGTTGAGACTTCCGTGGTGCATCTCCATGGAACTCTGGTAAAATTATCTTCGGAATTCTCGCCTGAGCGTGGACCTCCACACAATGGATCCCCTCTGTGTTTACTCCCACGTTTGGAGTAGATGCGAACCAGCCCAGCGACATTTATCAAGGCCCTGCTCTAAGCCAGAGATTGCACAAGAGCAAAACTCAGAGGTGAGTTTTGAGGCACGGATGGGCCCACCCTCGTGAATTTATAGTGTAGCAAGGGAGGCAGATATTACTCAGATAATCAGAACGAAAGGCGAACAGGCGTGAAAAAACCTGGAAGGTACAGAAACATGGTGTGCTGGGGACACAGAGTTCAGAGTGTATTTGGTCGGAGAGGCCAGTGGAGACGGGACTGAAGAGAAGCGTGGAGCTGAGAAACAATGAAGAACAGGGGTTAGCAGCGGAAGGGCAGGGCTGCGTCCTCCAGAAACACCTCAGACTAATTGGCGTCAAAGTGAAATCCAAAGTCACAAGACTAAATTATCAGATAGACCCCTTTGAATAAGTATGATAATCTTAATTTAAGCAGCATTCAAAGAATTGTCCACTGTCCTGTTGTGTCTGGGATTGGACAGAAATGGACTCAGTCTTTTGGGATTCTCAGCTGTGTGGAAGGCAAGGCGGGCAGCGGGCATGTGAATTTATATAGCAGACACCTCAAACCTTGCTGGGTTTACTCCTTACATTACAGAAATTTCAGGTTTCTCAAGGATTTAAGGACTTAAGTTTCTCTGGAAAAAATTTAGTGGACTCTCATGTCTCAAATAGAGCCAAAGGGGATAGTCATAAAAATCCCTTTCTAATCCTAAAGATTTCTTATGGGTCCAAAACCATTTTAAGAAAAGAACACGTCAGCTTCATGGATCCGAAGTAGCAGTTGTATTAGGAACAGCTGAATGAGAGGGAACAGACTTTCAAGTGCCTTTGGCCTGGTCCCCAGAGCAGCACACTCAGCATGGCCTTGTGGGCCCAGGGCGAACCAGGCCACTCCTAAATGGGCATCGTTTAACCTCGGAGTCAAAAGACAAATGTCTCCTTAAAACAACTGGTTTTCTTTTTTTCTCTGTATCAAGATGGCAAACTATTCTAACTCAATAATTTTTAAAAGGTGGATACTTTAGCATCAGATAAAGTGTTCTCATTTTTGTCCAAGTGGAAAAGTAGAATTATATTAAGATAATCGCTCTTGACATATCTTAATCTGTTGATCTTGAATGACCATTAATTAAAAATTAGTTAAACTGTTACTTTAGGGCCTACTATTAATAACAGAGAAAAAATACCTAGGAATGCAGAAATGGGCTGAATGGGTAATTATACTCCAGGTGCCTCTGTGCCTTTGCACATACGACCATCTCTATCTTGAATCCTCTGGATCAGCTGGATAACTCCTACTTACCCTTCAACCCCAAATGGAGCATCTGCCCCTCAGCCCTACCTTTGACAACTCCAAAGTTAACTGCTCCATTGCTTCATGCTGCCTTGGCCTTCTGCTCACACTTTCATGAGATACACATGGCTGGGTGTCTGTCTTCTCCTACTTTCTCTTTCTTTTCCTTGCAACAGAGTGACTTTTTATTTGGGACGGCAAAAGCCTGACCCCAGAGGATGCATCTCTCATGGTCATGCGAGCAGTTGTCATTTTGAAATAAAAATGAAAGTGTTTCATGTTCTGGCAAGGCCACTTAAAAGAAGCCGGCTTAGTTGAGGAAGGTCCCCTTCTGCCCTCTGCTTTCCTTCTTGTTGGCTTTTGAATGCTCTTAAAAAATGAGACAAGCTTGAGAATGGAAGTCACACACTAAGGATGGAGAAGCAGGAGAAACAGAGCCTGGGGCCTGCTCTCCATTTGGGAGGATTACACCTTCACGTCTTCTGGGGGGGCAGAATAAATCCCTCGGGTGTTAAAGCCACCATTTGGTATTTCTTTTATACCCACCCAGCACACGCTGTTATATGACTGTTATTGAATTATCATTAACTTGTTTGTCTTTACATCAGACAATGGGTCAGTCAAGAACCTATGTAATCATTGCATTTCTGTCACTGTAAAGAGCATTTATACTTGAGATGTACATTTAATGCTGGTGAATGAATAGTACACAAAGCACCAAGTAGAGTCGCTGGCTAATAATTCAAACATGGGTCATAGATGGGCAAACTTAGGCTGCGATCATTAATGCAAAAATGTGTGTGTGTGTGTGTGTGTGTGTGTGTGTGTGTGTGTGTATCTGTGTGCACAGAGGAACAGGTGTGCCATAAGTGACAGTGAGAAGCCAGATCTAATTCTCTGTCCCAATGCATGAACACAATGTACAGGGACAGCACTTTCAGAGATGATTTCCCAAGTGTACCTACATTCATTACTAGGGAAACAGCATGAAAGGCAATGTTCAGGTCACCAAGTTCCCAACCGCCCATTCAGCACAAAACATTAGACTGAGATAAGAACCACGACTACTTTTGGCAACTGCACAGAATCTTTTTGCAAACGGTAGAAAATAAATATTTTGGCTTAGTACAGCTTTATGATATTCTGCCTACTAGGTGTTAGTTGGATGTAGGGTGTCTAACCTCTTACCATTAAAATGATTGTAGGATGTAACTTGTTTTATCAAATGTTTAACTAGGGTTACTTAAAAATGTGAGAAGCAATTTAGAAAAAGAAAAAACAGTACCCTGAGACTTACCAAGGTTAATAATTTTTTTGTCTAAGTGTTATTACTAAATCATCAAATTTCTTTTCTTTTTTTTGGTAATGAGATGGGGTCTCACTATGTAATTCAGGCTGGCTTCCAACTCCTGATGATACTCTTGCCTCAGCTGTCCAAGTGCTAGAATTACAGGTGTATGCCACCATGCCCAGAGTCATTGATTCTTGCTTTTATATCTTACACATATGCTTCTTGTGCCCTTTTATATATAAATATATATGTACATGTATGCATATATAAATACACACATGCAATATGTAGGCATGAATGCATATATAACACATATTTGTATTTCTGCTGCTTCACATAGCATTTTGTGTTTCAGAGGCACATTCAATGCTGTTAAATCAGTAACACACAATATATGCTTACATGTACACAGACATATAATCTTTGGTCTTACTTTTAAGTAGAACACATACTTACTACTGTTGATTTTTCTTAATTCTTCAGGATTTACTAAGGGACGGGGATATGAACACATTCACCACAGGGCCCTAATTCATACGTGTCACTGCTGGGGGCATGACCAACCCTTGGTCCACGAATGGCTGCTCCACTGGGCAGCTTTTTATTAGCAAAAAGACTGATAAAAGTGATTAGACCTATTTGTACCACCAGTAGTACAAGCCACCTGATGAGACAGTCGTGTTCATGCCAGGAAATGTGTGAAATAGAAATCTACGACCCCTAGCATCCATGTCTGCTGGCTCTCAGACTTTCAGTGTGTTGTGCAGGTGTTAGGGTTCAGGCCTGCAGGGGAAGTTGACAGGAGTTTCTTCCTTGGTGTATAAAACTAGAAAATGAAAAGGTAAAACCCAAGACCGGAAGTGTCTAGACATTTAAATACTGATAGAAAATGTCACTAGAAGTCCAAGGACAAACGAAGAGCAGCACGAATCTGGAGAAGATAAATGGCTGTAATTCATAAGCAGAGACCACGCCAAGGCCAGTGTTCTCAGATGGGTTCACACTGGCTCCAGGTCTAATGGTTTCCACAGGACCTCAACTCCTAGCGTCACACACTGGGCCAGTGATGTCAACCTTCTCTCATCCATGCCATGAGGTGAGACACTCTGAAACCCCTGTGTCCCAGCACCAGTAAAGACAAATATGGAAAACTCAGCTGTAAATCCGATCACGGCCAGTCTTTCCTGTAATCATTTAATCCGGACAAAGCTTTCTCATCACAATGCTCTGACATCTGTCCTGCCTCCCTTCCTCATAACGCCAATAAATAGAGGAGGTAGTATGTCTCCAAGCTTACCTTCAGATGGTGATTAATTTGCTCATTCTTAACCTTTTTATGAAAAGGTTTACAGTATATGCATTTGATTAGTATAATGGACATTTTCAAATGGCTAGATGGAGCACAGAGAAAAATAAGTGTGAGAAAGAGAAAAATACAGCTGGAAGTGAGGAAGCACACGCAGTGCACCCTGCCAGGCCCTATCCATGTGTTAGATGGGGGGGGGTGTCACATAGCTGTATGCACGCTCCCTACAATACAAAAAAGTGGGTACTCATAAAAGTCACAAAAAGGGCACCTACTGAATCCTTTCAGAAATCTGTAAGTAATATGTTTCTCGTGGAAGACCCAGTAAACATCTGTGATAAATGAATTATGGCACAGGAGAACCATAATTACTCGAAGTACCAACATTCTATGTATGGCTCTCCTGTAAGTCTTCTGAAAGACAAAGGTGTATAACAATGCACCAACATTTGAGCAAACGAAAGCAAGTTTCAGAGAGCTGGCCCTCACTGACCTCGATGGTCAGAGAAGATTTGATAAAAGCACATTTTAAGAATCCAGACCAAAGCACCCAAGTACAAAGCACTGGACATTCTGAGCTGACCAAGGGTCTTCAGAGCACTTGGGGTGAGGCTGGGGGCACAGGGCACACAGCTGTGTTTCTCCTGCTAAGACCTGTGACAGGCATTGCTGACACCTGTACAGCATTCTCTGCCAGGGCGCTTTCCTGTGGCTCCAGATACTTCAAGCCATTGTACTCTAGAAGCCAAATCTAGTAGACCATGGCTGTCACATGAGGACACTGTGCCACTTTACCATGTCAGAGTTGAACTGGCGGCCTCTGTTGTACAGTATTCCACAAATATTATTTCTCTACTAACACTAGGTAAGAGTTGAGCGATTTCAAGTACAGGTTATAACATCAAGGTTCAGACCAGAAGCTTCCTTGAGGTCAAAGAGCAAGACACAAGAGTCCATCTTGGAGGCTGCTTGTGGAGTTAATGACTGTGGAAAGGGATACAGGGACATACCTGGCAATGGGGGATGATAACAAAGGTGAATGTGCTTAGCAAGACCAACGTGGCCAGCGCTCGGCACGTTCACCGGGACGAACAGGTGCCGTACCGTGACGCGTGACTCGAGCACTAATGCTAGGTGCAGAGACACAGCCCTCCTCACCGGTCCCTCTGCACCACCCCCACGCACGCACACACCAAACCTCCCCACTCGGCACCTTCGCCTTTGGTGCCCAGATTTCCTCGTTTACGCACTTGTTTCTTTGGTTTACGACTCGAGTTTCCAATACGGGAGAATAGGATCGCCAATTATACACAAAGGTGTTAACAGTAGCCTGAGAGTTATTTCCAAGAGCCTAATGGAAATACATTTACCTGCAATAAAACCACACAAGATCACCACAACACCAGCCCTCTCATTATACACACAAGCTGAGTCCCGATCCTGGCTGCATTTAGCTTTTAATTGCACACTCAAGTCTTTAAATCATAAAATGGGAAAACAAATTATTACTTAATATTTGCAGAGTTTGGAATAGATGGAAACTTCTTAAACACAAGGTCCATAGAAAAAATAATAAGAGATGCCTTTGTGTCAAAAAGTTGAGAAACACTCATATATTCCTTTGTTTGTTGTTCACATACCCTTGGGAGGAGTAACACATGAGGTCGTTGCTTATACTTAAACCAGATCAACTGAGCTTAAGGCATCAGGTGGCAGTTACAGTACTATGGGGAATACATAAAAATTGTAGGCACAGTCTCAATCTGCAGCAAATGGGCTTAATCGGATCATTTCCTCTAAACAGGTAAGAGTGTTGAAAGAGAGTAAGGTCATGAGGAATCAAGGTCAGAGGACCACAGAAGGAAAAAGACAGAGGGAAAATGTGTGAGGGTTTGTTGAATACACGCTATATGTCGGTAGAATATATACTTTCTCACTTAATTCTTATCATAATTTTGAAGATTAGTTAAAATCATGTGTATTTTATAAAATAAAACTGAGATCCAAAAAGGTTATAAGAGCCCAAGATCACATCAGCAGGAGACAAAGTTGCCAATAGCACTCTGTCAACAATGAGAAATCAATCACCCTATGTGTGACATCCTGTGTTCCTCCTAGGGATTTGAATCACAATCAAGACAGGAGGGAGGATACACACGCTTCTGTCATCCCTGCCACTGAAAGCAAGTCACAGCCTGTCACTTTAAGGATGGCAGTGGAGCGCCAGGAAATAAGTGGGTCCTTGCAGCCAGTAGCTTTGAAAGTATGGGCAGGGTTGTTTTGTTTTGTTTTGTTTTGAGGGATGATTGATGATCAAAACAAAAAGAGTTGCTTTTGTTCAACAGCCACATACAATCCAAAGGGAAATGCTGGTGAATACCAACAGGCTGTTTGGGTAAAGGGTAGCGCCTACTGATATAGGGCACCAAGTAATCCAAAGAAGAGAAATACTGCAACTCCCAACCTTCTAGATATCTAACACAGGAGTTTGTGTTCTCTAAAATCGAAGAAAAAAATTTAGGAACAAAGAGGTTAAGAATAGGAAGAATTTATTGAGAGAAAGACAGCTTCAGTCTAAGAGAGACAGAAGGGGGACCCGAAAGTGGGTTGCCCACCCACCCCACTTTTCAAAGGTGTTTTATTGAGCAAAGCCACAAGGTAAGGTGGACTCAAGGTGGGACAAAACTACAGTCAACTAATAAGAGTATAAATATTGTTGCTTAGGTAACAATATTGATCCAATGGGAAATCACGAGGTGGGACAAACTGTGATCAGCCAATAAGATTACAGCAAGTATAGTCGCTTAGGTAAAATTGATTCCATGGGATCAAATGGGAAGCGGGTCATGTAGCAAGGAGACATGGAACAATGACTTCTGGGAAAGGAATGGGCTTGGGAGGTCTTGGTCCCTGCCCAAGGTGGCTGATGCCTATTAGAATATCAATCACTGCTATTCATCCCTAGGGGAAGTATGTGAGTGTGGTGCTTTTTCTCTTTTTTTCTGGCACTCTCTCCTCTGGAGTTTGGCAATTACTACCTGGACTAATCAATTCCCTGCGCAGTCTCCAGAGTCCTGACAATGGCCCACAGGGTGCTACTTCATCCTTCTCCTCTCTGGCTCACTTTCCCAGCTGTTCTTCCAGAGTCCTGAGCTCCTTCTCATCCTAGGACAGCCCGGCTATTGCTGCTGAGTGGAGTACTCTTCCCCAGTCTTTACTGGAGAAAATGTTCACCTTCTTGCTAAGACCTACTTTGATCAAACAATTGAAAGCTGTATCCCTCCCCAGACCCATTACTTTTCATTGTTTCTTTTTATTCTAAGGTACTTTTCCTATAATACATTCAAATATACATATATATTAAGGTTGTTTATTTTTTATCCCCTAATAGGATGTGAGTACAAAGTCAGAGGTATTTGCACATCTTGTTCACTGTCCTAGAACAGTGCTTCGTGTATAACAAACAACTAATAAATATTTGTTGAATGAATGAATACATTCCAAAAGCAAAAGCCAAGCCAGAGATGACAGGGATATATTATGACTTCAAAGACTTTTGCTCTTTGTCTCAATCTACAATATAACAATCATCACCATTTAAATTCTATCCCACTGGTTCTAAAGACCAAAAGAGAAAGTAGAGAATGATCTTTAAGTATGGATCCTACTCTGATCCATTGTCATTGTTCTAGAGCTGCCTTCACATGTAAATGCTCATTCCCCCAAGTGAGTTCCCTCAGACCTCTTCCCCAACAGGCGGAGCTCTGGGCTGCATGCCTTAGCTCCCGCATCATCCCTGGATCGGAGATTCAGCTGTCCTTGCTCCTTAGCACCCGGTTGGGCCTTCCTCATGGACTTCGGTGTGGGAGACCCTAGTCTGACCCCTCCCTTTAGCCTGTGTGAGCTTGAGTCCTTTGGCCGGCCACCTGGTTGGACAAGAGCCTGTTTTCCTACTTCCCTACCTGCTCGCACCTCTGCTGAAGGATCAGGGCTATAACAACCTCTGTGGTTAAACTCTAGGAGGCTTCAAGGGAAGGAGACTTGGCCAGGTGCTGCTTTTGGAGTACAACTCTATCCTCTCGGATGTCTGTATCTCCTTATCAGCTCTCACCGCAGTTCTAGAGAGCAGTGCCTCACGTCCACTGGTTCTGCAGTGTGGGTCTTTTCACATTACAAAGTAAGTGGACAAAAAGGGAGACGCTAGCATTAGGGGTATGAGACGAGAGAGAGAAAGAGAGCTACATGTGTAAGCATGTTCCTTGGACTGCCTTTCTGGAGGTCAGGAATCTAATCCATCCAATATCTGGATCAACACTGCAAATGGAAAAAAAGAGAACGAGTGACTTACTTACAACCTGCGTTGAAACTCTCAGATGTTCCAGTCTGATTTGCTTTTACCTGTCTTATTTATTTCAGGATCTTGGCCAAATTCTTGAGTAAATGTATGGCCAGACACATATGGATTATTATTATTTTTTACAGATTTGTTTATCTAGTAGTCTTCAGCAGAAATCTTCAGAATTAACCTTGTGTAGACATTTGTGCATACAAGCCCTAGAATTCATTCTCAGCAGATGGCCAGGGGACTTTTCTTCAACAGGCTGTCTTCTCCCTCCCCTGCTTCCAAAATTAGGGCATCTGGAGAAGGCGAAACAAAATTATACAAAGCCCTGACCTCTGGCCTTGCTTCTGTCTCTCAGACTGTGAAGCACCCCAGAGGGAAAGTGTTGAATTTGGCCTGACTTCACGTGGTACAAACTGTAACTCTTTGTGAATCGTGGTGACATCATGGTGTACTTTGACATCACAGCTCAGACTCCCTCCTGTTGCCAGCGTACAGCAATCTATAGTCTTTCTCCAAACATAAGAGTCTTTTGTTGAGCAGAAAGGGTAGCAGCTGGTCCTCTGGCCTGGCACAAATGTGGACCCTGGTGGAATGTGTCTGCTTAGGAAGCCACCGCAAGGCAGCTTTGTACTACGAGGGCTGGATCCACTTACACATGTGGAACGTATGTGGAAATGTATATCTAAAAAGCTCAAAATTCCAGATATGGCCAATGATTCACCAAAATTCTACATACAATAAAACTTCCATTTCCATGTCTGGGTGTGTTATCTGAAGTCAGTATTCCAGAGGCAACTGTATCCTGCTATTTTTGTCTGCCAGGGCAAAAGAAGAATAAAAAGGAAAGGTGAGAAGAGATATGTCTGAAGAGAGAGAGAGAGAGGGAGAGAGAGAGAGAGAGAGAGAGAGAGAGAGAGAGAGATCTACATCCCAGACAACTCTCCTATTATAACTGTTCGGGCACTGCTGGCCCCGAAGTGAGTAGCCCTTGTGACTCTCAAGTCGACCTCGGACACATCATTGTATACTAACGTGAAGCTTCGCCGAGGTGCTATCAGTACCGTGCTCCAGAGTCCATCAGAGGTGTCCTCAGTGCACATGTTTCACCTGCTTTCATCTTCCTGGGCTCTCTCCTGCCTTTTCTGGCCATGCACATTGGCTCTCTAGAGGAAAACCTGAGAAAACATCATCTGCAAAATGCCTTTCAGTTTCTGTCCAGATGGTTCCAATGCTTGTATGAAGCATGCAGGTCAGATTGAGAAGCCAAAAGGTATCACTCTGAGGCTATTCCAAGAGGAGTAAGCCATGGTATACAACAGAGGCTGGAATCACAAAATTATTTTAGTGAAAAATATATGCTTGTTACTACATCACAAAATAAATGGAGTCCGGGCCTGACCCTCAGTGCACCACAAGCCTTGCAGCTGGCACAGGCGACTCCCTCTCCTGGAAAGCTACCTCTGTCACAAGTGCTCTACCCCAGTATTTCATTGGCATGTTCACTTCCCTGGGCACTTATTTCCCTGGAACATCATTCCTTCTTCCAAGAATCCATGTTGCATGGTCCTAAAACTCTTACGATGTGTAGCCCGGGCTGTGAAAGATGCAAGTGACACGGTGGGGACTACAAATGACTCCATTTCTGGAGTACATCACAGTCTGTTTTCCGCTGAGTTACAGAAGGACATGGTATCAGTCTTATAAGACATGTAAGGACGTGATACAATAACATATAAAAAGACCCAGTGCTGTGCTTAGAATGTAAAGCCTCCCCGAGTATCTGAGGGTTTCTAGGAGAATTCTATTTTCAAGCCTTCCATTTCAGTCCCCATCATTCCTCAGCATCTGCCTAATGTGAGAGCAAAATTTAACCACATGGTAATAGGAATATTCAAATTTAGAAATCTTTTAAAATGTGTTTTTTTGTAGCAGTTGCAACTGCTTTTCAGTCAATTTTCCCTAGCTATTTGGAAAGCATTATCTTAACACACAAAAACCTGCATATATTTTTCTAATTCCTCCGAAGATATTCAGATTGCCTGCTTTTGCGCACTAACCTGATTCCTGATGGCCATGGGCAAAGAAGAGAAGGAATGTTAAACTTGTATCGTTCATGTGACAGTTCTAATTTGACTACACTGTAACCGTTCTTCTGCATGCATTATGTATAAAGCCTGCAATTTGAGATAATTGCATTATATTTTATAAATAGTCCTTGTATCCTTTCAATATATCTATGTGAATCTAAATAGAAAAGTCTTAGAGAAAAGTTCTGTAAGGTTGGGTCTACCAAACACCGTGTGAGATGAAAAATCATGATCTCATTATTGTATTTAAAATTTCCAAGTGTTGTTATTTCAAAGGACTTCTTGGTATAGTGGGGACCTAGTCTACATGCCATTTTTCAATAATGAAATTCTACCATTAATGTTGAACTGTTTTTATAGATATTGGCATTCAGGGAATCACTTAGTGAAACACACATTGAAGAGAGGTAAAAGCATTCGTTAGTATCACTCTGTGAGTTTGTAGGAACACAGTCTTCCCCAGGACGCTTAGGAGCTGATTTTCAGATGATGTGCAACTTCAGTTTCTTAAATTCTTTCAATGATCATGCCAGAGCAAACTGTGTATGGCTAGTTCAATGGCGAGTTTTTATTTCTCCCTAAGATAAAAACATGACTTGACTCAGCAGGGTATGGTTTTCACTGCTGAAGTCAACTGGGCACCTACTTCATAGCTAGCAGATGCTGGTGGCATCAGAGTTGACAGAAAAGTAGGAAGGAAAGACTGGCAGGCAGAAGCAGAGGCACCTCAAAGGGTAGGAAACTATGTTAGGAAATCACAGACCACGGCATTGGGCAAGTCTCATGCAGCAGAGCACAGCAGGGCAAGTCCGATGACATTTGTGCTGCACCTTCCTGGGTCAGGTACTTTCAGGAGTCCTCCAGACCTGCACAATGAACTGAACTCCGAGCCCACACAGTGACAGAGCCAAGCAACTCCCTGTCACTGACCTAAAAACACCAGAATGTGGATTCCAGCCTCTTTCTAACCCACCTTTCCCATTACTGCAGTCCCTATACCCTGGGGGGATGAAGCCAGCAGCGAGTGCTCTGGGGGAGCTGATGCAGCACCACATGTACTCCTGAAAACCACACCGCTGAGAGCTGACTTTCAGAGTGCTTGGCATCCTATGTAAAAGGTTAGCCCTCCATTAACATCTCAATGATGTTGACGTGGACTGGTTTTCAGCATGAGCCCATAGGCAGTCAGGAAACGCTGATGAAAGGCTAGTTTCCCAGAGACAGGAACTTCCAAAAAGGTTCCCAGGCTTTTTCCAATAATAGGAAGACACCTCTGGCCCCTCGCAAACGCAAACTTGTTTTCAGTTCTTCCCTACAGCCTGGCTTCCACACTGACTGGCTCACTATCTGAATGGAGGAACAACATCCCTGCGGGCTGGGGAGAAGGGAGAAGGGAGGAGCGAGAGGCTCCAGATGGGAAACAGACAAGACTCAGCCCAAACACAGCTCCCACCCGGGAGGCTGGAGGCCAACCCAGCTTGCATGCCCCGGGATTCCGACCCCAGCATGAACGTCTGGCTCCTGCCACACAGGGTCCGCACAGAGGGCCCAGGGAGACAGCACGGATTCCAGGGCACACGGCTCACACAGCAGTGCCCTCCTCCGATCGGCTCCCAGCCTGGGTCAGGGCCCAAAGGCCCGAGTCTGGGAGGCTGATTTGAATACAAAGCTTTGTCAACTCTGACCCCTCTCAAGGCAAAATAAATATCTGGAAAGCTCCTGAGCATGACATTCTTACATTAGGTTCTGTGTGGAGACCTTGCAAAAGTCCACAAAAGTAAGAAATCACAGCAGCAGGGGCAATGCAAGCGCAGGCACAGAGCCGGGATCTGCCGTCCCCTCCGACTCCTCCGGGGGCTGTTCCACCAGGGAACCCGGGAAGAGAAGAGCAAGGGCAAAGGCAACACTAGGAAATCCGCCCAGAGGCTCGGCCAAAGGCAGGCGATCTCATCGGTGGACTAATTCTCCGGAGTTCTCTGCTGCTTATGAGCACCATTCCCTTAGGACGCACGCACCGTCACTAGCGTTCCTGAACCAAGTGCTCAGCTGGTGACAAGAACTACAGGTGACAAGAGCTCTGTCCATTTAAAAATTTTTTATGTCTAAACATTTTGAAGTTATAATCTAAATCTTTAAGATGAAAGCTGAAAAATTATGCTCAACTTTTGCAAGAGCATGCCATTTTTCTTGTTTTTAGACATAAAATGCTTTCTCAACTACAATGCCATGCATTGGGTCTAATTAGATAGTAAGGAGATAAAAGTTCCCTTTTCATTTTAGTTTTTTAAATGCGTACGTGGCTTCAGTCTGCCGGACTTGTACTTGCAATTCTAAATCATCTGCACAGACACGCAGGCTGCCTTCCCCGTAACACCTTGCTGGTGTGTGAAGGAGCGCAGCTGTGCCCCTACTTCTTTCCTGCATCTCATTATTTTCATGGTTATTTTTTGCACTTGGGAGCAGCTGAGGGGAAAAAGGGAGGAAGAATAGAGGGAGAGGAATTCCACGCCTGAGTATTTGTAAACACCCGGGAGGAGCCGAGGAAGTCTTGGCCTCACAATCTCCAGGACTCGGGGGCGAGGCTCGCTCAGCACCCTCGCGGAGCAGGATTGCGCTGAGCGGCTGCTGTGGAAGACAGTATGGAAGTTCTTCAGAATGTTAAGACATTTAAAATATAATCCAGCCATTCCATTTCCGTCTATAGAAAACTGAAAGTAAGGGCTTGAATAGCTATTTACGTGCCTGTGTTCATAACAGCACTATTCAAAACGGCCAAAAGAAGGAAATGATCCAAATGTCCACCCATAGATGAAGGGATAATCAAAAGGGTGCATGTGTACTTGATGGAGTATTATTCAACGAGAAAAAGAATGGAATCAGGACATGAGCTGCAACGGTGATGAAGCTTCAAGGTATTATACTGTATTAAGGGAAATGAACCGGGCACAAAAGGTCAATTTGATAAAATCCACTTTAGTCAAATTCCTAGACTCAGAAAGTAGAATGGGTGCCCCAGGAGCTGGGGAACAGAGGAGCAGAGTTAGTGTTTAACGGGTGTGGGTTTCTGTTGCCCTGGCAATGGGTGAGGGTGGCGCTGTGCAGGGGGTGCACCTGCTGCCCTGATGCCACTGAGCTTGTGCTCAAGAGCAGTTAAAATGGTAAATTGTATGCTATGGTGGTTTCACCAAGATAAAAAAGAGGAGAAGGCACAAGACTGATAGACACAAATAATTAATACAAGGAATACATAGATGGAACTGCGTAATTAAATACACATGTAAAAGTAAACATAAGCTATAACGTCCATTTGCTCTTGCGGAAGTCTGTAGTGACATTTTGCACTCTGCCACCAACTGGTCCCACAGCCTCCTACTGAGGTGTGGATGTGCAGTCCCACGTGTTTGACTTTGCTGTTTTTCCACTGAGCAAGACTTATGTGGATCCCACGGCACACCACCCCACAGACTAGCACAGCGTGGTACAGCACTGTATAACACAGCCTAACGCAGCATGGCACAGCACACAGCCTTGGAGCTGGAAAGATGGAAATGTGAATTCCAATTCTATACTCCTGAGCTGCACGGCTTATCCATGTTACTTCATCTCTCCGTGCCTTGGCTTCTTTATCTGAAAAGCAGGACCAATCACACTTTCAAAAGTTGTTTTGAAAAATAAAAAGCTCTTACAGTTTAATAATGGCAGTAGCTACCACTGCTATTAATTACAACATTAGCAGCAGCAGCAGCAGCAAATGCAACTGTAAGAGTTGGAGAAGTGAAGAGAGCTGTTCATGTGTTTTTAGAACACTTGTTCTCTGATACTCCTCAGAAGTAAAAAAATCAAGTTCTCATTTGACATAAAAATATTATCAGAAATAATTCAAGTGACTCAGTTTGCTCTCCTAGAAAATTCCTTCCGCTCTAAGACAAAGCAGAGCAATGGACTCTTCAGAGAGAAGGTTTCTGAGCAATTCACTGACACAGAAACACTGAGCATCCTCTCTGCCTTCTGCTCCTGCCTCTCCTCATCTGATCCACTTCTCCTCGCGCGTCACGCAGCTCTGGATGAGGAAGGGAAGTCTCAGCCACCAGAGGTAGGAGCAGGTTGTCGAGGAGCACAGACAGCAGAGGACACCCCATCAGACACACTTGTTTGCAAGGACGAATGAGAGAACCTTATGTCCTGGATTTGGGGTACAGACGGGGCTGACTCCGCATTGGCCTGGGAAGGGTTGATGGGGAAGGTGAGGTGTGAGCAGTGAATCAAAGAATGAACACAGTGCAGCACCCCTCAGAACAGTGGAGGCCGTGGCCGCGCCCCCAGATGGGAGCCGGCCTGCCGCCTGGGCAGGCTGCGCCAGGTGGGTCCTGAGGTCAGCGCTGTACGGCACTGCACGCACTCCTCTAGGAGGCGAACCAGACTTCTTTCTCACAGCCCCACGAGACCCTTGCTGGGACCCATGAAGAACTCATTCAGATCCGCATGAACTTCTGGCTGAAGAAGAGAGACGCTCCTGCTTGTAGTCTGGGGTCGTCTGGCCGCAGGACAGAGTGTGGTCTGAACCAAACAGAAGTTTCTCACGCTTTGCCTGTCAGCATCAGCTCCCTAGCGCCTCCAGCACGCCCCATTCATCCCCGAGGCACGAAAGTTGCCACCCCGGAGAAGAAGGAAGACTCTGATGGGCCCAGCCTCCTCAGCAGCTGTGGGTCACGAGACCACATCCATTTTAGAGCTCCCGGCCGCCGGTTACCATGACTAACAACCGCAAAGAGGGGAGAACTTTAACGTGACTTGTAGATTGACTGTCATAATTCTTTACCATTACAGAAAAATATATGGGACAATGATCAGACTGAATCTCTAATCAAGCACATTTTTGAATTTTTAAGAACCTTCTGTGAAATAATTTCTCTATATTTCAGAAGCTGCACACTTCTCTACAGATGAAGGCACACACTTGATAAAATTATTCCTATAGCCAGAAGCCCTCTTTTAGTCCTGCACAGCACCCTGGAGAAATCCCCAGAGGCTCCAGTGGTTGCTCCATGCCCTGGCCACGGTGATCAGGTCAGTGACAGGACCCCTGAATCAAATCTTGGCCAGATCCTCCTCCCGGGAATCCGCAGACTGGAGAGCAAGAAAGAAGTTTGACTGGGGCCAGGTTATCTGCCAAGCCTCTTCACACTGCAGCTGAGGACTTCTCGGGCCCTTCAGTTAGTGGAGTCACTCATAAGCATTTGTCTAAATAAACAGTTGATGTTCCTGTCCTCCGTCTCCATCCTTTCAGTAACCCACCCTTTGAGCCTAGGCTAGAGAGAATTTCTGTTGCTTAGAACTGTAAGAATCCTAAAAATAGAGCGTACATCTGTTACCAGCAGAGATACTGGTTTTCATATCCTGGAACTAAATATATGGAAAGAAACATTAAGAGATGTAATTCCCAGAGGTTTTTTTTTTTTTTTTTTTTTTTTTTTTTAAGGAGTGGGTCAAAAGCAGAAGAGCTAGTTTACAGGTCTGAGAATTTAGAATGAAAAGGAATAGAAGAGTAACACCAGAGCAAACTAACAACAAATCAATAATACTCTGGATTTGAAAATCAGTAGGTGCTAAAGATAATGTGATGCTGACACGAGGGGACGAAGGATAACATAAATAAGATGTAATTCCAAGAACGAGACCACTGTGAAAGAACCATGTATACAGGTTGAGATGTAATTTTCAGTTAAGATTCTCTTGCTAAAGGACGGAGCTGGTGGGACTGAGTTCCACGGCACACAAAACACTCAGTGCTGCGTGAGGTGTGATGAGTTTGCCAGATAGGAGAGAGATTACTTTAGTATTCTCATCATTACTTTGATTATAATGATTGTTCTTTCTCCTACTCCTTAGAAATACCTAGCCTAAGTTGGGTTTGGCCAAACACGCCTGCCATTCCAGCACTCTAGGAGGCTGAGGCAGGAGGATGGCAAATCTGAGCCTAGCCTGGGCAGAAAACACAAAAAAGAAAAAGAAAAAAGCTGGGGACAGTGATGTTGCTCAGTGCACAGGCCCTGGGTTCAATCCCCTGTACTACTGGTGTTTACAACAAGCCAAACTGATGGCCTTGCCGACCGTCATGAAGGGCACAGGGCAGAGCTGGCCTGCACCCCTCTGGGAGAGTTGGGAGTGCAGCTACAGGGCAGCTGTGCCGGGGAGAGGCTCCCAGACAGAAGCCCACGTGAGGTGGCAGGCAGGCTTCTGTTCCATCACAGGACCGCCGTGTGGGTGCAGACCAATGTTCCAACACGAGTTTTAATGATGAATGGAAATATCATACTTAGGTACTGGCAACTAATTCTTGTGTTTGCAAACCTCAGTGCGTGTAGAACCAACGTCATCAGTGGGCTCTATTTGGCCGGAGGGCTGCTGGTTTGCAACTTCTACTTCAGAGCTGTGGAAATCACCTGGGGAGAAAACTAAAAGCCATGCTTGAAATTATAGAGGGAAATCTGGAGACACTCCTGGGGAAGGGGGAGGCTGAACCCTCAGCCTTGATCAAGCCATTCGACCTACCCATTGCCAAAGGGAGTGTGTTTGAAATGAGCACAGAAATGTTCCTCTGAGAAAAAAAGCCCCATCAGGAGGCAACAGCGGCCCCTACCCTGGCAGGATGCCTCTTCTTTCTAAGCTCCCATCCTCAGCGTTTGGCCCACACGCCCAGCCCAAGGCAACTTCAGGAAGGGCCGGAGCCGGCACCTGCCTCTCCACTGACCAGTCTTCACCTCCTTCATTAGCCACGTCGTGTCCTTCACTTTGGTAGGAAATCCTGGTCCTCTACAGAGCAAAGCAAAATGGAACAGAAACGCTTTTCATTCTTAGATCACATCAAATGTTTGCACAGACATGGTATATGTTGGCCAGTAGAAGATGACTTGTGGATAAGCAAATAACCACCTCTGTGGATCGACATGGACACTGGGGTCCTCCCTCGGGAGCAGAGAGGAGGCAGGAGTGCTCCATAGCAGCAAACGCGAGCACAGAGAAGTGGACTATTGTCGAGCAAGGCTGAACATGAGACAATAAAACACTGGCTGTGCTCTTTCTTTTTAATGTGACCTGGCCACTTCTTCCTGTTTCCATCCCCATCCTACTGCCGGCCCTTTCCCTACAATCTCTGTTCTTTCTTTAAATCACCTGCAGCTCTGCTGGCAAAGGACCCACACTGGTTCCCAGTCACAGTCCTAAGCGGGCGGTGCAGTGGGTCTGCATCTGGCTGTTCTGTGGGAATGGAAATGGTGAGTGCTATGTTTTTGGAATGTTGTGTTGTTGGCAAAGTTTTCCATGCGAATTTTCTTTTATAATGCAACTATTTTTAAGTGAATGGAATGTTCCTGTGATAATTTGGCCAGGACAGGGAAATTTAGACAGACCAAAATGTACTCAGTAATGAAAGCGACTAACAAAAGTGAATAAATAATCCAAGTCAAAAATACTTCAAACTTTTCATTTAAAGATTGTTAAATACACACAGTTCCTCTCTTCCACCCCTCCACCTTCCCCTTCCCCCTCTCATATTTAATATACAGTAAAGAGCTCTAGAACTTAGAGCCAGAAGTTGGGTTTGAGTCTGCGTGCCTTTGCCGCTTGCCCGTTCAGAGACCCGCGCGAGCCACACCCTGTCCCGTCACCCCATGCCTTCTAAGAGACTCATCTGGTGAGTTCCCCAGGGTCTGTTTCAAAGCAACTGCCTTGTGATGAGCTTTCCAGAGCTTCAAAATATCCCCCAGGCCTTGGAATTTGTCTTGGCTGCCTCGTTCTATTAACCACACAGGTCCTTTCTCGCCGTTCTCCCTGGATTTCTCAGATTCCTAAGTGTCCTCTTGGATCACAAGCAGTCCGCCTGTAGCAAAAATGCTTTGTTCCTGCTCGGTCTGGGCTCCTCAGGGCAGTGTAACCCGAGCAGCAACAGAAAGGACAGGTGGCACATATTACACTAATTTTAGGTGCTTTGGTAGAATTTCATGATTCTGGAAAGCAGCCTTGTTAGGGTCATGCCAGGAGAGTCTTTGGTAACCGTGAGTGCACTAAAACTTGGGTAAAATTATGTTCATGGCGCAAAATCTGGAAGGTTCCTGATGTTTTCATTAAGAATTATGACAAAGTCACTGCAACATTAAAAATTTTCTCTATATCTAATGATATTTCCTTGGAAACATGTCAATCTGCTAATGTGTAATTATTAATAGTCTTTCATGTTTGATTTTTATTTTTAACATTTTGAAATGTCATAAAATGTCAATTCTCCAAATTCTTCCTCAATTCTACTTTGCTTATTTTAAATTTAACTTGCCTTTTTTAATTGAGCCAAGGACAAAGTGTTAAATCCTAAAAAACTTTCATATATGTTGCACTTGAAGGTTTTGGGAAGACTAGTATTTTATGGCCAAAAACTTGATTCCAAATTAAATTATAGAGAGATTTAAATGAACTAAAATGAGTAGGACTGCAAGATCACCTGATTAAACTGTGAAATATCCTGCAGGAGCAAACGATCCCCAGATCTATATTCTAGTAAGGAATAAACTATATGGCAGGAACAGTAGGGAAGAAACTACATCACACTGCAGTATTTACTGACATTTATGGCTTTTGGAAACCTGGCATTTTGTACATTTACTCTAATGACTTCATTAATAAAGGTTTATCTGGAGTATACAACTTATATACTAAGGAAATGAATAGTTATCTCAGTGAGAGAAATCTGTGGGGGTCTCGAAGCCAACCCCTGAGCCATGGGGGGGGTTAGGAACAGGCAGCGGGAAGGACCCTGCATTCTGAATTACTCATAGCCTCCTATATGACAGAAGACTTAAGCCCCCAGAAACAGACTCTGTTCACAGCCTGAAGCAAATGAGAACAAGCCCCAACTATATTAAATGACATAAAAAGACATTAATATGAATAATCTGCGTGATGAGTTAGGGAGGGTTTGGATAACCAAGATACAAAAATAGCCAACAGAGAGAGTTATTGACTGTTGGTCCACACATGCGTGGAGTGGCCACAGGGCGCAGCACAGTGAAACGAAACTGAAGATGAGAGAGAAGGCCTCAGGCTACCTGGCCAGCATGTCCACAGCATCCACACACAAAGGGGCCAACAGCAGGCTTGCCTGTCTGTGAGTTCCCACGGACTTTCTTGGGCGAGTGAAGGACCAGGTGAGCCCCTGAGGCAGACGTCACCTTAGAGCAGTGCCCGAAAGCCCGTCTTCCTCCTCAGAGTCACAGGGAGCCCTGCACGTTCTCACAGGTCCTGCAATCAGAGCTGCATGCCTAGTATTTCGTCGTGATGCCAAGCATTAGAAGGGGCTCAATAAATCTTCATCGAGAGAATGATTCCATAGTATTAATCTGGCTAAACTACATAACTGTAACAATATCCCACACAGTTCATGTGAGGGTTAAAGCAGTGACTCCTATCAAACACTTACCTAGCACGGTGCTTGACATACTAGTTCTTAAGAAATATCAGCTCTCAGTAATATTGGATGCTGTAGTCTCTATTCTTATCGATGAAAAAGACTGAGGTTGAAAGAAGGTAATAAATTAGTCTGTGATCACACAGACAGTAAGTTTGAAAGGTGGGCTTCAGGCTTGTATCCAAATGTCTAAAACGCGAGTCCAAATTATGTACTACTGATGGGTACCTCGCTTGTGCCTTATGCTTCTTAAAGATGGGATACTGTGAGACTCATGTACTTGATTAGCCGAATGTAAAAATTGGTTAAACCATTTTATGTATAAAATAGGGGATTTCAAATTCCCTTTCAATTTAAAAACTGGCTTCTGTGAAACCACTCAGTGAATTAAGTAGGGTTAATTATCATACACTGTTAATTAGTATACAAGTGGATAATGCTTTGTTTCCTTTTTTTTTTTTTTTTTTTTTTTTGGTACTGGGGATTGAACTAACAATGCTTTGTTGAGAATTTGTTATCCTAGGGAAAAGATATTCTCAAATCCACACATGTTTAACCTTAAAAAAAGGTTAGATATTCAGCTTGTGGCCTAGGTTAGCATCTATCCATTCAGCACACACCCTTTAAAGAATCAGTTTTAAA